AAGGTATTTTATACTATTTGTGACTATTGTGAAGGGAAGGCTACTGATTTGTTTGAGTTAATTTTACATCCTTTGCTAAAGTTGTTTATCAGGTTTAGGAGTTCTCTGGTGGAGGTTGTGGGGTCACTTAAGTATACTATCATATCATCTGCAAATGGTGAAATTTTGACTTCTTCCTTTCCAATTTGTATCCCATTGACCTCCTTGTGTTGCCTAATTGCTCTGCCTAGGACTTCCAGTACTATATTGAATAGGTAGAGGGAGAGTGAGCAGCCTTGTCTCATCCCTGATTTTAGTGGGATTGATTCAAGTTTCTCTCCATTTATTTTGATGTTGGCTACTGTTTTGCTGTATATTGCTTTTACTATGTTTAGGTATTGACCTTGAATTCCTGATCTTTCCAAGACATTTATCATGAAAGGGTGTTAAATTTTGTCAAATGCTTTCTCAGCATCTAGTGAGATGATCATGTGGTGTTTTTTCTTTGAGTTTGTTTATATGGTGGATTATACTGATGGATTTCCATATGTTGAACCAACCCTGCATTCCTGGGATAAAGCCTACTTGATCATGAGGGATAATTGCTTGATTCGTTCTTGGATTCTGTTCAGGAGAATTTTATTGAGTATTTTTGCATCGATGTTTATAAGGGAGATTGGCCTGAAGTTCTCTTTCTTTGTTGGGTCTTTGTGTGGTTTAGGTTTGAGCATAATTGTGGCTTCATAGAATGAATTGGGTAGTGTCCCTTCTGTTTCTATTTTGTGGAATAGTTTGAAGGGAATTGGTATTAGGTCTTCCTTGAAGGTCTGATAGAATTCTGCACTAAAACTGTCTGGTCCCAGACTTCTTTTGGTGGGGAGACTTTTAATGACTGCTTCTATTTCTTTCAGGATTGTGGGACTGCTTAGATGATTTATCTGCTCCTGATTTAACATTGGTAACTGGTATTTGTCTAGGAAATTGTCCATTTCACCCAGATTTTCCAATTTTGTTGAGTATAGGCTGTCATAGTAGGATCTGATGATTTTTTGAATTTCCTCAGTTTCTGTTGTTATGTCTCCCTTTTCAGTTCTGATTTTATTAATTTGGATACTGTCTCTCTGTCCTCTGATTAGTATAGCTAACAGTTTATCTATCTTGTTGATTTTCTCAAAGAACCAGCTCCTGGTTTTATTGATTCTTTGTATAGTTCTTTTTGGTTCTATTTGGTTGATTCAGCCCCGAGTTTGATTATTTCCTGTGATCTACTCCTTTTGGGTGTATTAGCTTCTTTTTGTTCTAGGGCTTTCAGGTGAGTTGTCTAGCTGCTAGTGTATGCTGTCTCCAGTTTCTTTTTGTATGCACTTAGAGCTATGAGTTTTCCTCTTAGCACTGCTTTCATTGTATCCCATAGGTTTTGGTATGATGTGTCATCATTTTCATTAAATTCTAAAGAGTCTTTAATTTCTTTCTTTATTTCTTCCATGACAAGGTTATCAATGAGTAGGATGTTGTTCAGTTTCCATGTGAATGTGGGTTTTCCATTGTGTTTGTTGTTATTGAAGACCAGCCTTAAACCATGGTGATCTGATAAGATGCATGGGATTATTTCAAATTTTTGTATCTGTTGAGGCCTGTTTTGTGACCAATTATATGGTCTATTTTGGAGAAGGTACCATGAGGTACTGAGAAAAAGGTTTATTCTTTTGCTTTAGGGTGAAATGTCCTATAGGTACCTGTTAAGTCTATTTGGTTCATAACTTCCGTTAGTTTCACTGGATCTCTGTTTAGTTTCTGTTTCCATGATCTGTCCATTGCTCTGAGTGTGGTGTTGAAGTCTCCCACTATTATTGTGTCAGGTACAATGTGTGCTTTGAGCTTTAGTAAGGTTTCTTTTATGAAAGTGGGTGCTCTTGCATTTGGTGCATAGATATCCAGAATTGAGAGTTCATGTTGGCTTACTTTTCCTTTGACAAGTATGAAGTGTCCTTCCTTATCCTTTTTGGTAGCTTTAAGTTGAAAGTCAACTTTATTCCATATTAGAATGGCTACTCCAAATAGTTTCTTAGGGTCATTTGCTTGAAAAGTTGTTTTTCAACATTTTGCTCTAAGGTAGTGTCTGTCTTTGTCTCTGAGGTAGGTTTCCTGTGTGTAGCAAAAAGCTGGGTCCTGTTTGCATATCCAGTCTGTTAGCCTATGACTTTTATTGGGGAATTGAGTCCATTGATGTTAAAAGATATTAAGGAGAGGGGATTGTTGCTTCCTGTTATTTTTGCTAGTAGTGGGGGCATTATTTGTGTGGTTATCTTCTTTTGAGTTTCTTAGAAGAGGATTATTTTCTTGCTCTTTCTAGGGTATAATTTCCTTCCTTGTATTGGAGCTTTCCTGCTATTATCCTTTGTAGTGCTGTGTTTGTGGAAAGATATTGTGTAAATTTGGATTTGTCATGGAATATCTTGGTTTCACCATCTATGGTAATTGAGAGTTTTGCTGGGTATAGTAGCCTAGGCTGGCATTTGTGTTCTCTTAGAGTCTGTATGATACCAGTCCAGGCTCTTCTGGCTTTTATAGTCTCTGGTGAGAAGTCTGGTGTAATTCTTATAGGTCTGCCTTTATATGTTACTTGGTCTTTTCCCCTTCCTGCTTTTAATATTCTTTCTTTGTCTTGTGCATTTGGTGTTTTGATTATCATGTGATGGAAGGTATTTCTTTTCTGGTCTAGTCTATTTGGCATTTTGTAGGCTTCTTGTATGTTTATGGGCTTCTCGTTCTTTAGGTTACAGAAGTTTTCTTCTATAGTTTTGTTGAAGATATTTATTGGCCCTTTAAGTTGGGAATCTTCACTCTCTTCTATACCTATTATCCTTAGGTTTGTTCTTCTCATTATGTCCTGGATTTCCTGGATGTTCTGTGTTAAGAACTTTTTGCATTTTGTGTTTTCTTTGACAGTTGTGTCAATATTTTTTATGGTATCTTCTGCACCTGAGATTCTTTCTTCTATCTCTTGCATTCTATTGGTGATGCTTGTGTCTATGACTCCTGATTTCTTTCTTAGGTTTTCTATTTCCAGAGTAGTCTCCCTTTGTGATTTCTTTATTGTTTCAACTTCCATTTTTATTTCCTGGATGGTTTTGTTCAATTCCTTCACCTGCTTGGTTGTGTTCTCTTGTAATTCTTTAAGGGATTTTTCTGTTTCCTCTTTAAGGGCTTCTACCTGGTTACCTGTGTTCTCAAATTCTTTGAGGGTGTTATTTATGTCCTACTTAAAGTCTTTTATCATCATCATTAGAAGTGATTTTAGATCTGGCTCTTGCTTTCCTGGTGGCATGGGGAATTCAGGACTTTCTAACATGGGAGAACTAGGTTCTGGGTTCTGATGATGCCAAGTACCTTGGGTTGCTGATGCTTATGTTCTTGCGCTTGCCTTTTGACATCTCGATCTCCTTGGTGCTATCTGCGCTGTCTCTGACTGAAGCCTGTCTTTCCTATTATCTTGTATGTGTCAGAACTGTTTGGGATGGGTTTTGCTGCTGGGATTAGAGCTGAGGCCCAAGATCTGCTCAGTGCTCAGGTGGAGACCGGAAGGAACCAGTGCTCCAGGTCCAGAGTGAATTCTTTGGTCCCCATGTGTGACCCGCGTCACTTTCTCGCCAGCAAGAATGGACTCGGATGTCAGGATCCTTCTGCAGCAAGCTTTATTGAAGCTGAAGAGAGGAAAGACCCCGAGGGGAAGAGGAGCTCTCCTTATATACCCATCGGGTCGGCGTGTCCCTACTCTACTGGCTGATGCATCTCGGCAGGTATGACGCATCGGGCTGCGTCAGCTTTTGACAGTTACCAGCTGCTCAGGCATTCACCTTACTGGTGTTTAATGGCGATTTCAGGAGGGAGACTACGCATGTGCAGCAGCGCACCACATCTCCCCCTGTTTTAAATATTAATTGGAGCACCAGATCTCACTTCACTGGGTGCAATGGGCAAAGTCCCTCCAGGTGCAGAAGCTGAGATCTTGTGTGGGTGATTCTTGGGGAGGTTCTGTAGCCCCTTACGTTTGAGGCCTCATGATGGTACTGAGCCTGCAAAGGAGAGCAATGCTCAAATCCTTACGCGTCACTGGGTGGATCTCCTCACCCGAGATCGCCCTGTCTTAGGTGGACCGAGTCTTACTTGACACTCCGTCATTGACATACCAGCCCTTATCATGGAACAGAGACCTCGTGGGCAAGAATAGTATAGGGGCTATCGATGTTAGTCCCTGAGCATGGACATCCAGATGCCGATAGAGTCACCATTTTCTAAGGCTGCAAAGGCCTGAGCCACCACCACCCTATCTCTCTGTCATTGAGCTTGCATCCTACACAGCAGAAAAAGGGTACACACCAGACCCAGGCACAAAATAGCTCCAAAAAGTCCCACTCCCACCCACTCTTTAAAATAGGAGAAGACACCCAGGATGAAAGTCCCTCGATTAGGGACACATCCACGCGGGTAGAGTTGATCTCTGTAATGGACCATCGCAGTTGTAGGAGGGCATCTTCAAAACGTTCAGACCAATTTCCTATAAGATATTCAGATAATTGATGAGAAAGATTAGCTGCTGTAGTCCAATTTTGATATTGAACACTGGTAATGCACAAGGACCCCACCTTTTGCTCACACCCTAAGCGTGCCAAATCAAAGAGGATTTCAAGCCTTTTCTCAACTAGATCTATCCTTTGGTTAACCACCATCATTCCCCCTTTTAACTATGAGGACAAAAAGGAGGTCTGGTCCAGAGTTTTGGACACTCCCTCCGTCAGGTGTTCCAATTCTTTTGCAGACTTGACTGAGTCCCGATTTCTTTCTAATCACAAAGATTGGAGTATTCCAGGGAGAGATGGATGGCTCTAAATGTCCCAATTTTATCTGTTCTTCCACTAGTTGCATAGCTGCACCCAATTTTTCAGAGGACAAAGGCCACTGGGGAACCCACACAGCTTCCTCTGAGAGCCAAGTTATGGGCTTAGACTCTCCAGCGGCCCCTAGGAAAAACCCAGGCCCTTCTTGTCTGACTGAGATACGGGGAAGATGGGATCAGGTCTGCCTTGTTCCCTCGCCCCTAGTCCTCTACCCTCTTGATAGCCCATATGAGACATCATGTTAACGGCCTGTGGAGAATAGGTGTCAGTCAGCCGTAAATTTAGTTGTTGTAACACATCTCGACCCCATAGGTTGACTGGCAGTGGAAGAACATATGGGGTAAAAGTTCCAATCTGGCCTTTGGGGGCTTCCCAACAGAGGGTCTGTGAACTGACTGAGGGGTTAGCTTCATATCCCAGCCCTTGTAAGGAGCGGGATGATTGAGTGACAGGCCAAGCCTTAGGCCACCAATTAGCAGAGATGATACTCTTATCAGCTCCAGTATCTAGGATGCCAGAAAACTGTTTACCTTCCAATTTTAATGTTAAAGTGGGCCTGGTCTGTAAATCCATTATTAAATGGGCCTGATCCCGGGTTTTGGCACCAGCTGTGACCCACGTCACTTTCTCGCCAGCAAGAATGGACTCGGATGTCAGGATCCTTCTGCAGCAAGCTTTATTGAAGCTGAAGAGAGGAAAGACCCCGAGGGGAAGAGGAGCTCTCCTTATATACCCATTGGGTCGGCGTGTCCCTACTCTACTGGCTGATGCATCTCGGCAGGTATGACGCATCGGGCTGCGTCAGCTTTTGACAGTTACCAGCTGCTCAGGCATTCGCCTTACTGGTGTTTAATGGTGATTTCAGGAGGGAGACTACGCATGCGCGGCAGAGCACCACACCCATGGGTCTTGGTTACTCCCTGTTTGGGGCAAGTGTTTCTGCCTCCTTGCCTAAGATACTGCTCAGGTTAGAGCTTCTGGGAGCCCCACTTCCTCTGGGTTCTGTGAGACTGGGTTCAGAGCTGTCTCCCAGGATCTCTTGAGCACTCAGGCCCCAATTAGTCAGTTTTAAAATCAAGAGATGTGTGAAAACACACACACAAATTTATATATTTAAATGCAATGCAAGATGCAAGACAAATAGAATACTCCTTAACATTAAGATTTTGGGCACAATCAGCTAACCCCCAGCAGTTGGGTTTGCAAAGTCTCAGAAAAGACACTGCAGTTTTTTAATTGTGTAGAATAATTAAATTATCATTTTATTCTTTTCTTTGCACTGAAATTGGATAGGATTTACCTCTTCAGCACAATCCCCATCAAAATTCCAACACAATTCTTTATAGACCTTGAAAGAACAATGCTCAATTTCATATGGAAAAGCAAAAAAAAAAAAAAAAAAACCAGCATAGGCAAAACAATCCTGAACAATGAAAGAACTTTTGGGTATCACCATCCATGATATCAAGCTGTACTATGGAGTAATTGTAACAAACCTATATATTATTAGTATAAAAAACAAACAGGTTAGTCAATGAAATTGAATCAAAGACCCAGGAATAAACCCACACACCTACAGACACCTGACTTTTGACAAAGAAGTCAAAATTGTCAGATGAAAAAAAGAAAGCATCTTCAATAAACCGGATGCCTGTATGTAGAAGAACACAAATAGATCCATATTTATAACCCTATACCAAACTCAAGTCCAAGTGGATCAAAGAAGTCAACATAAAACCAGGTATTACTAAATATAATAAAAGAAAAAGTGGTGAATAGCCTTGAATGTATTGATACAGGATCCAACTTCCTAAACAGAATATCAAGAGCTCAGGTACTAAGATCAACAATCAATAGATAGGACATGATGAAACTGAAAAGCTCCTATAAGGAAAAGGACACCATCAATAGGGGAAAACAGCAACTTACAGGGAAGAGATTTTCTCCACATGCAACAGGAGACTAATATTCAAAATATATAAAAATTTTAAGAAATTAGACATCAACACACCAAATAACCCAACTAAGAAATAGGGTATGGAGCTAAAGAGATTATTCTCAATAGAGATATATCTAATGACTGAGACTCACTTAAAGAAATGTCCATCATCCTTAGTCATCTGGAAAATGCAAATCAAAGCAATCACTTTTTCATAAAGCCTTCTGCATCTATCCTAGAGTAACCCATATATCTACTCAGCGTGATTCATTACTTAAAGAATACATTAAATGCATGTTAGATACATTAAATGTATGTCTTCAAATGCTTACTCAAAGGGATGCTAGCCGCCAAGACTAAGAAGTCTACCTGAGACTATAACACCCTGAGGAAGCAAATGTTAGTCCTGCTCAGAGACGCTGCAGCTGATCACAGCTACGAAAGAACTAGCTGAGTGAAGGAAGAAACCACTGTGTATGCCCAAGTTCATCAGCCCATCAAGACTTACATGAATCTAGCTCCACACTCGTATGATTTCACCCACCTGAAAGACCTGAAATAAAAACTGCATTCTGAACCCAGTTAATCAGAACCAACTGTTAGAGAGGTCAGGTTGTCACTTTAAGCCACTAAGTTTAGAGCATTCAGTTACTCTGCAGAAAGAAATCAAAATAAAGCTTCGTCTACCTGAGTCAGAAAGCCATTGGAATATTCTGAGCAAAGGCAAGCATGTCTTCAAAAGATTACCCATGTGTATTGTGTTATTTTTTTTAAAAAAGTTAAAAACCAATAAAAACTTTGGATAATAGAAGGGGCAACTGTTTAAAGAGCAGTTACTCTCTTTGCATTTACCATAATACTAATCACACATCTACTGGAATAATTTCTGTGACAGCTTTTTAGTATAATTGTTTGTTCTTTTTGACAGCAAGTAGAATGTTTTGTTTACTCATGAATGCTCAGTGGTTTCTTAGGCACCTAAGAAAGTTTATTAAAGCAACAAATGAAAGCAGTGAATAAATGCTTTAAGGGACTAACAAAAGGAACTCTCCTCGCCATGTTTCTAGATCTTTGCTTTTGATTTCCCTTTTAATCTACTAATTTCCATTTCTTTCATCCTAATGTATGGTTTTTAAGCTGACATTCAGTATGCAAAAATAATGCATGAAAATAAGGATTCCATCATCAACGATTGGGAATTTGAATACTGAGAGAATTTAATATTTTAAATCTAAATGTAGATACGATAGGAAATGAGAAAGTCCATGACAGGGCTAATAAAGTGCATTACTTTCCTGTTCTCATCGGAACCATCCAGAATATGTTCAGCTCTGCATTTCTACTATAAAGTCAAATAGTCTACAAAAAAAAAAAAAATCAAAGGGTTTTTTTTTTTAAGTAGTACAGCAGAATTGTTTAAAAGTCTTGGTCTCATATTTCAGATAAAGAGAATACTAGTAAGAATATACTGAAGTTAATATTAAAAGGGAAAGATAAATATTCATATATCCAGCTCTGCCATCCTGGGAATCATCTGCATACCTTTTCTTTTTAATCTAATTCTGCCTTGTTTTAAATTATCCATAGGGCATATTGTCCAGTGTGTGGTTTTATTCCAAAATCTCTCCACTTTTTTTTTTGACCATAGGGCTTTATTTTAATCCAAGGGCTGAAAAACAATTCCAGTACTGTCCTAAGACCACAAAACCAACTCTGGATAACAATGAAAGAATTTTAAGTCATGAGGTAGTAGTCAAACAGGTCTTTCCATACTTTTCTCCCCTATTGCTACACCCCAAGAGCCATCTCAGGAATGTTCTTTATTGTAACTTAAGAAAACATTACTAGGGTTTTACACTGTTTTACAAATAACCCATCCTTTCACAGATCACACAGTGCTTCCTGTTTGGATTCTAAGACATGCTGCATTATTTCACTGAGGTCCTAGAAAATAAAACATGTTGTTAATAAGAAGCACCTTTACCACATAGCAAGCAAGCTCCATTTGAATCAGAAAATGGAAAACAAATGCTTCAAGTAACCAGGACAAGTGTTGAGCAGCTTGTGCTGCAGACAAAGGATATTGCTCCAGTCCTCTGTTGTTCAGAAAACTGTCTTCCTTTTCCATGGCCCCTTGGACAACACCGCCAGTCAAGAGTACACAGACTAATTTACAATGTAAAAATACTGAAAAATAGCTTCTTGGGCTCGTGGTCTCACCATAAGAAAAAAGTTATCAGAAGTAAACAACCAAGGCATACGCTAACTTTGTCAATCTGGTCTTCTAGCTGTGAAAGTAAGGCACTAGCGTATAGAGATGGAACTTGAGACGTTGTGACTTTTTCCTCCAAGGTGAGTGAAACAATGACTAATATTAGGAAACTTGAGTGCAGAATAAAAATGGTAGCAGTAGACCTAGTCCTGTTCATTTCCCTTCCTACTCAGCTGAGAAAGTAGCTTCTTCATTTCTATAAGACTTGATTCCTGTGGTGGAGAGGATGTTGCAATCTGTGTTGTTGATGAGGTTTCTATTAAACCCACACTGACCATTCAACATAGCACTTTGAGATTCTCACAGCTGGCTACCCGCACATAGAAAAAGAAATTGTGATACTGTCAACAACACTGGCTAATAGCCCTGGTGGCCATGATTCTGTATCTGCTATGTGATGAGAGCAAGAGGAATATATCTTCCCTTCCTTAGACAACTCAGAGGTTTCAGTGGAGCCTCTCTTGCTGCTTCCACATAATGATTGACAGTAAGGGGTCAAGTGCAACAAGTCGAGCCTGTGAGATGGCATGATGTATTCTTTCATGACTATGACAAAATACCTTGACTATTAAGCAAAGCAATATCATGGAGAAAGTATTTTTTTAACCACAGTTTCAAGTACTTTCAGTCCACCCAGGGCATACTGGTCACAGTGTAATGTCCCAAAGGGTTACAGAGAGCTGAAGCTAAATCTAAAAGCTTCCCATGGCCCTCACAGGCCCACCTTCTAGTGGTCTACTTCTGCTAGCTAAGACTCAAAGGTTCCCTAACTTCCCTAAGCAGTGCTAAGTGCACATGTTCGAAAACAAGAATGTGTTGGAGGGATTGCAGATTCTAAACACAGCGCTTGAGCCTCTTGGGCTCAAAGTTCTCAGCTGTAAAGAAAAGGTTACAAATAATAAAGCTACCTAGACTTAGCAGATATGCATGCTAAGAATGAATCTGTAGCAAATCCACTAACTTCTGGTGGTTGTTGCTGGGTTTTTGCTATAAAATAACAACCACCTGTTATCTTAAATAATCAGTGATGTGTGAATTTAGTTTACATTGTAGTATGACAAGACCTTAGTGGTATGGAAGCTAAGTGATGGATACCCCTACTTCACCTGCTGTAAACTATCTTCTATAGCTCAGGAAACACAAGCCTGCCTTCTAACACCCACCACTGTCAACCACCACCTTTAGATTTTTATGGATATGCTGATGGCAAACCCAATTTCCAGAGCAAAATAATGAACTCCTGTGTGAGGTTATGTATGGCTCTTTCTGTGTGTGTGTGTGTGTGTGTGTGTGTGTGTGTGTGTGTGTGTGTGTCTGTATCTGTTCCTGTATGTCTTCACTATGTATGCATGTATATGTGTT